ATTTGTAAAGTCTCTCTTTCTGTTTATCAGGATTACTATAAAGCTTTGGAAGATGCAGATGAAAAGGTCCAATTAGCCAATCAAATTTATGATCTGGTGAGTAATTTTGTTTCCACTAGGTGGCAACACAACATAGATAGTGAATGGGCCTCAGGGATGCTTCCACTCCCACAGTTTAAGTTATCAACACTGCTTTTCATGTGCTATAATTCTATAATCCACTTTGATTACAATTTTTTCCCCAGTCAGATTGATGGTATATGACTATATTTCTGGTGAGAGGGTTTATGGGAGATCTGCTCTCTGTTGATCTTATGCTGATGTGTGGGTCTCTACGTAGGTGGATAGACACTTGCGGAAGTTGGATCAGGAGTTGGCGAAGTTCAAAATGGAGTTGGAGGCAGATAACGCTGGCATCACAGAAATCCTGGAGAGACGTGAGTGGCACCTGTCAATCACCTTCTTCATAGTTTTAGTTAAAGGGCTAAATTTAAAAAAAATGCTTAAAAGCTAGAGGTTGCCTCATGTTTTTAAAGATGATGTGATTAAAAAAAGAAGGTACTCTTATGTTTTTAGTGTGTAGCAAAAAACTACTACTTGCTTAGCTAATATGATAATTTCTGGGCGCATTTCAGTCAACTGATCATGTCGTTGCTTTGTGCTGATTTGAAACCGTTCACCTGAAAGTCAGTTTTCCATTTTCTAGGTTCACTGGAGATGGACAGCCCCTCCACACCTGTCAATAACCACCATGTACATTCACACGCCACTGTGGAGAGTAAGTCTGATCTAAGAGAATGGCTGCTCCTTGTTTTTCTTTTTTAATCCTCTGACCTGTTTTGTGTGTCTTTCGACAGAGAGGAAGTACAGCACGCCAGCCCACCACACTACTGAACACGTACCAGAAAAGAAGTTTAAGTCAGAGGCCCTTCTCTCCACACTCACGTCAGACGCCTCTAAAGAAAACACACCGGGTAAAACATACATTCTCTCTTATGAGTCAACGTCATATGAAAACATGTCAGAGAAAGTCAACTTTTTCAGGCATTTGACAATATTCAGTATATATCTCAATATTTACACTACTGTTCAAAAGTTTGGGATCGGTAATTGTTTTGTCACTTATGCTCACCAAGACTGCATTTGTTTAATATTGTCATATTATGAAATTGTTACAAATTAAAATGATTTTAAGATTTTAAAATTTAATTTATTGCTGTGAAACAAAGCTGAATTTTCATCAGCCATTACTCCAGTTTTCAGTGTCACATGA